TTATTTTTCTATTTGTTTTATCATATATATATATATATATATATATATGTATGTATATATAATTAAATTAGTTTTAAATTTTAGACATCCCAACGGCTAGTAACTAATAATTAAGATGGTAATAGATAATAGTTAAAATAATAATGAAATATATCAAATATAATGATGTATACAGTTAAATATTGTGAGCTTTCGGCAACTTTAGTAACTACAGTTGTCAAAAATATTTACATTAAAAATATGTATATGTATGTATATGAATAGATATATGTATGTATAGAAAAGTATAACAATTGGATTTTGTTTGGTTCAAATCTATATATTTTTATTTATTTCTTAAATATTAATTATTTGGGACGTAACAGTTTATTATAATTTATATATTTTGTGAACAATAAAAATTAACTTTATTTGTATCTTTAATTTTATAACTATAATCTTGTATTTGTCACCTATTAAAAATAATAATAAACTTAAAGTTATATAAAATTGACTTTGAGATCACCATGTTATTTTTTATTTAAGTTTATCGATATGTTATATTGTATAATTTACATTCTTATTTTGTAGAATTAAAATCTAAGTCATACTTTTGATGTTAAATTGAAAGAATATATAAAAATATTCTTATGAAATTTTCAGACCGCAAACCAAATTGTGATGGCCCGGGCTCAGCATGTTATGACCCTCGTTTTATTGGTGGTGATGGCATTGTCTTCTACTTCCATGGCAAGAGTAACGAGCATTTTAGCCTAGTCTCCGACAACAATCTCCAAATCAATGGCCGTTTCATTGGCCACCGTCCAACTGGGCGAGCTAGAGACTTCACATGGATTCAAGCGCTAGGAATCCTTTTTAACTCTCACACATTTTCTCTCGAGGCCATCAAGACACCAACATGGGATAATGAAATCGACCACCTTAAATTCACCTTTAACGGACAAGATCTGTTTGTACCAGAAGGCACTCTCTCAATTTGGTACTCGCCAGAAAAAGAAGTAAAAATTGAGCGAATAGCAAGTAAGAACAGTGTTATTATCACCCTCAAGGATACCGCAGAAATTTTAGTAAATGCAGTGCCTGTGACAAAGGAAGATGACAGAGTCCACAATTATCAAGTACCTTCTGATAATTGTTTTGCTCATTTTGAGGTGCAATTCAGGTTCTTTAATCTATCACCAAAAATTGATGGGGTTCTCGGCAGAACTTATAAACCTGATTTTGAGAATCCAGCAAAGCCTGGTGTGGCAATGCCAGTTGTTGGTGGTGAAGAAAAGTATAAAACAAAATCACTTTTGTCTGCTGACTGCAGTACTTGCATTTTCTTATCAGAAATCAAGTTAAGTCAAGAAATCAACTCTATAAATAAAGAATTCGAGACTTTAGATTGTACTCGTGGGTCATCCACAGGATATGGAATTGTTTGCAAGAAATAAGTAAGGGGTGATTTCTCTAGGAGAATAAGAGAAGTCTTTTGCTTCTCGTATAATTACCATTACTTCTACGTAAACAATGCTACTATTTGACATCTATGTTTACCTAAGCTTGTCGACCTTACCAACTTTTTTACAATTTGTTTGTAACACTTGCTCATTCTAAAATAATATTACTAAATAATGTTATCATTTACGAAATTAGTAAAATCGTTGTTGAATCACTTCTCTATTAATTGTCAATCCCTATTTCAATTATAGATCTCAAAATTGAGAAGGTAATAATATCTTAAAAGATTTAGATTTTACCTTGTGTTTCTAATAATTCTATATCTAACATTTTGGTGAAAGTGTAAATAATTAGAACACTCAGAAAAAGTAAAATTAATTCGACTCAAACCAAATATCCTACAATAAAAAAGTCTATTTCAACTATTACTCATACAATTGTGAATTTCTTTGTATTTTTCATGTAACTTAAGGTGTAAACTACGTCCTTATGCTACGACATAAGAAGGTGCTTATTTT